CCCACGGATTTTCATCTCCGGAGTTAAGGCCTTTTGAAGAGCGGAACTAAAGCATCAAAAACGTCCCATAAAAGGCCGTATGTGACAAGCCTCAAAGAGTTGTCCGTTGAGCTTTTAGGTCGCTAATATCAACGCCACTTCAATTTCCTTTCCAGGTTCCTCAAGAAATACCCTTCCATGGTGGAGCGACCGGGAAGTGACATCCACTCTCATACCCGTAACAATACATGAGACTAAATTGTTCATAATAAAATCCTTGCTATACCTCTTAATAAATCTCTTACCTCCACGACCAACCATTCTTCTATTTGTTTATCAACTTGCGTCGCCGATGCAAACGATTCGAGTGCACGAAACTTTATTCCTGGTCTCCTGAAACCCCGTTCTAAACTACATGTTGTCGCTTATAGTGTCCAGGCCTTATGCCATATAAGAAAATAGGTTTTCTTAGCTAGGACTCTATAGTCTCGTGCTATAAATGTATGCTTCATCTTCGAAACACGCACACAGGATACGAGAAGAGTCATTCATTTTACTTCAATTTTTCAAGATAAAAAACCAACTCGAATTATATTTTATAATTCTAGGAGCCGCACTACTGCTTCCAATGGCCTCACTGGTGTACGTATAGCATTAAGTTCTAAAGCAGAACTGACTCTCGTAGACTGGATCCCAGTAGATAGTCACTTATGTGCTATCCGACTAATCTAGGAAGTAAATCTCGAGTACCTGAGCATTAAAGTCACCAGCCATTATAACTATATCAGAGCGCTTGACCTGTTGAAGTTTTGAAAGATTTCTGTAAAACTCATCTTTCACCTCGACTGAACTGCAGTCAGTGGGGGCATAGGCAGGCAGATACGACGAAGAGGCAACGGCAATTGTCCCTATCTTCCCGAATCCGTATTGTCTCGTTAATTCTGACAGCGCACAAGCGACTATCATTTGGGATTCAGTCTAGGAGAAATAGTTCTGCCCTACGACTCAATGCTATACCTACGCTAGCTAGACCCCTGGAAGCAGCATCAGGGCTACCGGATACACGAACAGTAAATCGAGCTGCTTCTTTGTTTTGACAAGGTGGAATCAAATTAATGATTTTATTAGGATCCTGTGTACGTGTTTACGAGACGCAGCACACATCGATTGAGCGGGATTCTAAAGTCCTAGCTAAGGAAGCCAGTTGTCCTGTTTGACGCAATATTCGTACATTAAAAGCTCCAACATGTAGTCTAGAACGGGATTTCAGGAGACCGGGAATAACGTTTCATGAATTTGAGTCGTTTGTATTAATGGTGCGAGTTGATAAAAGAATTAGAGAAGGGTTAATCGTGGAGATAAGAGAGATGTTAAGGGGTGTAGAAGGGATTTGTTTGTGACCGATTCGGTCTCGCCTGCTGTTACGAGTATGACGGTGGATGTCACTTCCCGGCTGCTCACACCCTGGAAGATTGTTTCTTGAGGAACCTGAAAAGGAAGGTAGTTTAGTGTTGGTCTTTGAGACTTGAGAGCGCGACCACAGAGCCCAAGCGACAACTGCTTGAGGCCGGTCACGCACGGACATTTTTATGTGAAGTATTTAATGTGTCAACTCGGTTCTTGTTTAAAAGGCCTTGCCACCGGAGACGGAAATCCGTGAGGTAAGGTGAGGTGTGACATTTTTAGGGTCGACCATTTCTAACACCTTCCTTTCTTGTGAGAAGGCAGAATCGCTGCTGGTGCTGGTTGTCTGAGGGAAACACCTTACTGCTGTCACACCCCTCTGCAGTCAGCAGTACGACTTCGCCCTCAGACCTTGGGTAGCTGCTTTTAGTCTCATCGTTCTCCAATCGACCTGCCTGGCATGGTAGAACCTACAGGAACATATGTTCCAGCCAATATAGCTCGGTTGGGTCATCACGACAAGCATGCCCGACCACCACGTCAAGGTAGCAGCTTCGGTCGGGTGAAAATCACGAAGTATATAAGACTCCTTTAATCTAAAATTATTTACACCCCCTATTATGGTGGCGCCACTTCAAGGTCGAACTTGCATATAGTGATGACTCAATTGAGATATACAGGATTAAACACTCAGTTTTGTAGGTCCTATCTTCCCAGACAAGTTTGTCGGAAAGAAATAAAACCGTATTCTGAACTCTTGGTATTCCTCATTATCATCACTACTCGTTTTCTACTCATCCTGTCAAGTTCATGTCATTATGCCGGTGTGCGCTATGACAACTTGTGCCAAGGTACATTTGTACTAGGCTATACGTTGGCTACGATTGAATAATGAGCTTAGGTGCAGCAAACTCATAATCTAGGAATCAAGTCACACTGTTGAACAAACTAAATAAGAAAATACCATAGATTATGAGATAATTACCTGAGTAGTTGTCAGCAGTTTATGCATTTTTGTATCTAAAGGTGCTGCAGGCGCATCAGGAGTACCACAACCACCAAATGGATTACTTACAGAAAATGCACGACGTGAAACTTCTGATGATTCGCAAGGTGGAAGACCAATCCCAGTGACATATAATATTTTGTCATCATAGAAACCTTCAATTAGTGCAATAGATCCCTCAGGAAGTAAACCCTAAACAGTAGGTAATAAAATGTAATATATTTTACGAAATAAAAGCTCTAAAATATTAATTATCTAAAACAACTCTACCAGTCATTTCGTAAACAACATCCATGCCACGAGTTGGCAGAGTAGGACTCCTCTGACAGCGGCTATACACACATGGCCTTGTGAGAGCGATTCGAGGGGGACACAGGATTCTTTTCACTATTGGCAGTATTAGGGTATTTGGGAGCTTTCTTGGATATGTATAATGGGCTCTTATGAGATGAAGCAGACCAATAAGTAATGATTATTAGTCGCATGAAGTTCGACGTGAAGTTGGTTAATTATTATTAATATTAATATAACCAGTTTATAATATCAATGGGTTCCGGAAATTAATCAAAAAACAATTCATTTTCCATGTGTTCTCATTGTCTTTACAACTCAGAATATATATATACATATTTGTGAAGTGACTTCTATAAATCGAACATCTGCCTCAGAGATCAGTCAAATGATAGATATTAAAACCAACAATTTTCTAACAAAACTGAAATCCATATTGCAGATTGGTTTGCTGAGATTTTTAAGTTTCATAATTTACGTCATCAACTGACCCTAATTGGATGAACATTGAAAACTAGGAAGCACTACTATACAGTGTTGCAAAATTACTCTAGTGCTAAGAGGTAGGGGTCTCGGTGGCCGACTAAAAATTCGTGAACTGTGAAGTACAACTAAGGTCGAGTGTTACCGACTAATAGCATTTGAAGACATATGAAAAGTCGTCAATTAATCGAAATTAGACTCAGTGATGTAAAGTTTGAAAGTTCGTCGTGAAGCCTGATGTCTTGTGCTCGATCCCCGGACTGGTTTACCATGCGCACTAATGAACAGTATAAAAAAAAGAGAAACGAAACAGTTCGTGAACTGGGATAATGTTTCGTGACTCCGACTCCAACACTGTGAACCAAACTACTCTTAATTGTCTTTTCGTTTCCCCACTAACCAGGATAAAAACACCAGTTTTGTAGATGAAGCTTTTTGATGTTGATCTAGTATAAGAACTAATCAATCAATCTAATTAATATTGATTTGCTTCTCTTAAGTTGTAATTTGAGACTGTATAAGCCCAGCAGTGTTTCATCATTTTCATTGGTCAATTTTATGAATGATTGAAATCCATGTTATGATAATTATTTTAATTACAGAACATCATCACAAAAACGTTTAGTTAGGTTTAAAGTGGAAATGGTTATTTGTTTTTGGTTTGAACTAACATAACACTCGTCGTTTTACGAATCTGATAAATTAAATTAGGGCTTAGTAACATAATTACAGCATAAAAACCAAAAATTCTTATAAAATGTAAAAATGTGGCCAAAGAGCCATAAATGAGGTAGGAATTATTACTTCAGAAAAAATAGAAGTTGCGATAGATTAACGAAAAGTGTTGCAAATAAAATAAGTCATGAAAGATTACATTATTTGAGAGGCAATCTCAAAAAAAAACTTGGAACAGAAGATGAAACGACTAAATTGTATATTTTATGAATAACTAGTAATGATAAGTGAAAGGAAATAGGTTTTATGCAAAGGACTATTAGCGTTACAAAATATGCGGTTTGTATTGCTTAATGCAATTTTCTAACTACAGAACATGTTTATTTATAACAAACACAGTGGTGACTATAAATCATATTAATCTGGAGATATATTTACTAGACAGGAATATTAAGTGACCTAGAGTTCTAGCTCACAAAACACTGGTTAGTTAGTTAGTTAGTTAGTTACAACATAGAACTTCGTACACACGTACATCAGTCCAAGTTGGCGTACCACATTTGCACAGACGCAACTGTCAGTTTAAATTCTATAGTGGCAGAGTTAGTAGAAGTATTAGCAGTAATGAAGAAGATTAGGGTTCGAAAATATCATTCAGAGAGTATAATCCAGTGAAGTAAATTTGAGAAGAGAAAAGTAAAAGTGATGAAGAATTCAGAAGATTAGGATTTACGAGTGCAAATTATTTGGAGCCATTTCGTTCAAGGTCTCTTACCATCGGTTACGATTGTCTTGCAGACACCAACCTGGCAATTTACACCTACCAACATAGTTCAGTCCACTTGTCACTGACTTCATTGATTTGTACCATTTTTGGTCTGGCCGCCACTAGCTTCCTTTCAGTTTACCCTTACACCACAAAACATTGCTCGTTGAGGCAGTCGGTGGTTGGGCATTCGTAACACATGTCCAACCAACTCAACTGACGAAGATCCACTACTTCGCCCATTGATCTGCCATTCTTACCTAGTACCTGTTTCCGAATACCAGCATTGCTTACTCCGTGATCACACAACATTCGAGCAATCCTTCGAAGGCACCTATGATCGGATACTAGAAACCTACGAATATCCTCTAATTTTAATGGTCATGTAGAACGGAGCGAACTACTGCGCAGTAGACTCAACCTTTGAATAGCGAACGGATATCTCACCTACGCCATAAAGGACGTAATCTGGCAAGAGCCAATCGAGCTTTCTGTATTCGTGCTGAGATTTCGTCACTCACCAGGCAATCAGCACTAATGAGTCTCGCGAGGTAAGTGAAGCGGTCGACACGCTCAACTACTTCACTCTCTATCACTAGTTCAAGTGCCCATGCAACCTAATCCTGCAGCAACATTTTGCATTTCGAGGGTAAGAACCGCATCCCAAACATGCTTGCATTGTTGCTTAAGGTAGTCAGAAGACTCTGCATTTTGTCGGCGTCTTCACCGAATAGGACTACGTCGTCAGCATACTTTAAGTCAGCAAGCGTGTCTCCTGGTAATAGGTCCACAGCTGGAAGTCAGACGGAGATAAAGTCAACACTAAAAGCATGTCTACGACAAAGATAAACAAGAATGGAGAGAGTGGACGACCCTGACGGACACCACCTGAAGTAAAGAATTCCGGTGACAGTTCCCCATAGGCTCTAACTCGACCAGTGGTGTTTGTGTAGACACCTTGCATAAGATTTATGTACTTCTTTGGTACACCTTTCAATGACAGACACTGCCACAAATGACGCGTTAAGGTCGAGAAACACTAACATTGTGGGGCGTCTGAACGTGTGCCTGTGTTCTAGGATCTGACGTAGTTTGAATATCTGGTCTATACATCCACGTCAGGTCGAAAACCAACCTGGTTTTCTTTAGTCTGCTCTTCACGAGGTTTCATTAGGTGCCGGAGTAGCATTGAAGCCAATATTTTAGATATTATATTAGTCAGACTTATTCCTCTGTGATTGTCACAAGAGGACTTTTGTCTTTATAAATTGAGGCGATCAGCGGTTGAGACCTGTCAGATAGGATTACGTCCAGTTCCCAGATTCTACCTAAGATCTCGGTCAATCTAACTGTTAAAATTGGACCACCATCCTAAGAAATCTCAAGGGTAAGCCTATCAGATCTCGCTGCTCTACCTCGCTTCAGATTTCCCACAGCTTTCTCAACTTCATAAAGAGTCGCAGGACTTACGTTGATTTGCCATTCAGGATGACTGGGGAACGTGAGCAACCGAAGTGAGGCTGAAGGCCAGTTGAACTGATACCTCAAGTGTTCTGCTCATCGATTCAATCTACTGGATTGAAAATGGATGATAAGACCATCGTTTTTGAGACATTCGCTATCAGATGCATTTCTAATACCGGTTTCCTTGATAAGTCGAAACAACTGTCTACTGTTGCCTATTGCAGCAGACTTTGCGATCGCTCTTGCTTTCGCCACTCACCAATGTTCGCGATTATTGCGTAGACTTTTTTTCAACCTGCACTTAAGCTGACTTCGCTCTTCGTCATGTTCAGAACCAGGTGGGATGAGTTTATGAGCATCTATCTGTTCGGTGGATGCTACTGAGATCAACGGCTTATCTCTAACCTTATGGTTTACCTTACTAGCAGGTATCACTGCTGTTTCCACAGCCTTTTTGATATCACTCCAAGCTATCTCCAGGTGGGAATCGCTTACATGGTCGCCTAACTGTTTCTCTAGTTGTTCCTGAAATATATTCATAGCTCTGCTATCATTAGGTAGAACCCGAAAAGGTTTCCGTGTGGTGTCTTTTCTACATCCAGTAAGCCTCAAACAAATACGCTCTCGTAATACATCATGATCTGATTCTAAACATGTGCATCAGAACGAGCGACATTCTCCTGTCGAACCCCTCCATCGGTGGCTGATGGCGAGGTTATCTAGTTGAGTCCAGCGTTGAATTGGTTTTAAGTTTCGCCAGGTCAAAAGATATTTTTCCTTATGCCTAAAGTTAGTGTTTGCTAGGAATAGGAGCTTATCTGAGCATAGTTGCAGCAGACAGTCGCCACTATCTGTTCTTTGAGTCCCTACATCATGAGATCCACCCACCTGTCTTTCCTTTTCACAGAGTCTACCTACTTGAGCGTTAAAGTCACCAGCCATTATTACTATATCAGAGCGCTTAACCTTTTGAAGAAGTTTTGAGAGGTTTCTGTAAAACTCATCTTTCACCTCGACTGAACTGCAGTCAGTGGGGGCATAGGCAGGCAGATACGACGAAGAGGCAACGGCAATTGTCCCTATCTTCCCGAATCCGTATTGTCTCGTTAATTCTGACAGCGCATAAACGATTGTCTATTAGGATTCAGTCTAGGAGAAATAGTTCTTCCCTACGACTCAATGCTATACCTACGCTAGCTAGACCCCTGGGAGCAGCATCAGGGCTACCGGATACACGAACAGTAAATCGAGCTGCTTCTTTGTTTTGGACAAGATGGAATCAAATTAATGATTTTATTAGGATCCTGTGTACGCGTTTCGGAAACGCAGCATACATCAATGGCGGGAGATTCTCAAGTCCTAGCTAAGGAAGCCTGTTGTCCTATTTGACGCAATGTTCGTACATTAAAAGCTCCAACACGTAGTCTAGAACGGCATTTCAGGAGACCGAGAATAACGTTACATGAACTCGAGTCGTTTGAATTAATGGTGCGAGGTGACAAAAGAATGTGAGAAGGGTTAATCGTGGAGATAAGAGAGATGTTAACGGGTGTAGGAAGGATTTGTTTGCGACCGATTTGGTCTCGCATGCTGTTATGGGTACGAGGGTGGATGTCACTTCCCGGCTGCCCACACCCTGGAAGATTGTTACTTGATGAACCTGAAAAGGAAGGTAGATTAACGTCGGTCTTAGAGACCTGGGAGTATGACCGCAGAGCCCAAGGGACAACTGCTTGAGGCCGGTCACGCACGGACATTTTTATGTGAAGTATTTAATGTGTCAACTCGGTTCTTGTTTAAAAGGCCTTGCCACCGGAGACGGAAATCCGTGAGGTAAGGTGAGGTGTGACATTTTTAGGGTCAACCATTTCTAACACCTTCCTTCCTTGTGAGAAGGAAGCATCGCTGCAGATGCTGGTTGTCTGAGTGAAACACCTTACTGCTATCACATTTCTCTACAGTCAGAAGTACAACTTCGACATCAGACCTTGGGTAGCTGCTTTTAGTCTCATCGTTCTCCAACCCACCTGCCTGGCATGGTAGAACCTTCAGGAACATATGTTCCAGCCAATATAGCTCGGTTGGGTCATCACGATATGCATGCCCGACCACCACGTCAAACTAACAGCTACGGTTGGGGCTCCAATACAGACACATTCATTGAACGGGTTCTAAATAAGACGAAACACGCACCCTGTAATTCAACGCTAGTTGAAATCCATTTATACTATGAAATGTTTGCAGTCTAAAAGGATGTGGAATCCCGAGCATCTATCCGGTTGAACTATGATGTTTGAAGTATCAACAATTAGTGCCTTATATTATCATGTTGACAATTCTTGTTAACAACTTATATCGAAAGATGATGAGCAATGATTAGTTGGCGAGAAGACGGTGGCCGCTTTGAAACTTCCACGTGTCTAATTTAACAACAATCATGAATATTGAAGTGGGTATTGACTAAGTATCGGTAGAATTTACGCTAAGTATCCCATCGAATGCACGTAGACAACTTTATCAGATAACTTACTTCCCATGCAGTAAATTTCATCAAAGGCTTTTGGGTTACTAGTATGACAAAATGGACAAACACGCAACTGTTGCTTCAAAGAAAATGATGACTATTTATATGTGGCTTTCGTATCGTACATCTGCTACTGTAGTTTTTCTTAAGCCAGCTTTTAGACAGAACAACCAGTTCAAAGCAAAAGAATTTTGTTGTCAGTTCAACAACTGATATGAGTTGATGAGTGTTACTATGACATTTTGTATTATTCAGAAAATAAACTATTTATCATCTGGATGAGTTTAGTGAATGTAATTGGTTGACTTGATTGATTAAACTGTTATTATGTAGTAGGCAGGGGTTTCCAACTTTATCATATGCATGATATAGATTCATCATTTCTACACCATACCATTGATTTTAGCTCTATTCAGACTTTTTGCTCATTCAAAAAGTATGCTCGTTAATTTTTATAGTTAGTAAATATATACAAAAAACAGCAACACGTGTAGTGTCTCATAAAAAGGTATAAAACAGAAGAACTGGTTCGATGAATCATTAACTCACACGCTTTCGAAATGCTCTCATATGGCCATGCGTGCATAGTCAGCCATGGAAGTCTTACCCGTTGCCTTCTCGTGGTAGGGGTCTTGTTTAAGTAATAAAGGACGGAAGGCGAATATCCAGCGCATAAAAAACAGGTTAATGGGTACGGAGGGTCTAACTATGGGAGTTGGAAAACCCTGATTCCAAAGCAATGGTGCCCATGGACTACTTTAACCAGTTTGTATACACATTTTTATAAGCCTCACCTCATGAAAAATAGCTTGTTGTAAATTCAGTTGTACTGTACCTGAGGGATCTTCAGCATACCATTTACCCTCACGAAGCTGACTAATTAGTCCTAACACAACGGCTGAATCTATTCTTGATCCAGAGGCAAGTAAATATTCAATCTGTCTAAGACGATAATTTGTACTATGAGACCCATCCAGAGCAGCTGTTTGCGAGAATACTTGATGTCTTAAAATTCTCTGATATATAACCTAACAGAACAAATAAAAAGGTTAGCAGAAGATGAGATTAGTTTTTAAAATACGAAAATTATGCTAGAACTAAGTCATCACCATTGTCATTACTGAAAGTCAAATTCAGCGATATCAAAATCAGTAAAAATGCCAATATATGGAGGTAAATATACAGTGAAGTACAATGAACATCCTACATCTGTATTACAAAGGACTTCACTGTCCTGGGAACGAGAGCTGAAGTATCATATTTTTGAAGACTACAGCATGACCTCGCTGTTGAACGGTCAGGATATGTATAAATATATGAAGCCTTTTGTAAAAGTTGAAATAATTCTCTGAAAATAACTCAGCTAACAACCTAAGTCTTCAGTTACAAAGTGGTATTTTTTTTCTTCCAAAAGCGATGACACTGCAGCCGAACTTGACTGACCAAACTTAATTGTGCATTCTTAGTGATTCTAATACTGATAACATGTAAAAATGCCAAGGACACATAGTTCGCTTTAGTGTTACAGAATGGGATCTAATCAAGGAAGATTTTTCAACTTCTCTAGATTAGAAGCAACGAAAATATGATCATACTGCAATTTACGGATATTATTTCATCTTCATGAACAATTCTATATGATAAAAAGTGACATGTAACATTACACGTCGGTAGAAGTCAAATGGATTACTGTAACAGAACGTCGTATATGTTACGGAGAAATGACCTAAACCAACCAACAGGAGAAAACAATTTTTAAATTATTCTTTTTATCTCAATCAGGAATAGTTAGAATGGAAGCCTCAGTACATATTGATAGTTAGATATCCAATAAGTGCATGCATCAGATGGTAAAACAATACGAAATGAAATCAGATTGAGAAATACGGACAAAACATGACCTTAATATTGTATGAATGCTACGCGACTACTCCCAGTTTTTTTAGAGGACACAACTAAAATGGATACAGAAAAGTCTAACTACAAGGTATTGTAGGTGCTCTATCCACTGACTGAACAACTACAAAGAAGAAATTAGACACCCGTACAATATTGACGAATAAATGGAACTGTTATTTAGTTCACATCCTAAAAATTCTACACGCCCAACGTGCTGTACGTCTGAATAGGTTCGATGCGTTTATGCGATTTGAACTTTTTAACTACCGCACTGATTGGTGAACATACAGGTATTTCATCAAACTTTTTGAATTCCCATGGCAATGTATCCTCTTATGTTTATGTTTTGCGCAAAGCGATATCTGTTGGAAGAAGCTTCACTTGATCACAACGTTTAGTATTCTGGAATTCTTAAAATGCAAACTCTGTTGTACATTTACTAATAAGAAATGTTCATCGTTTGCTTATACGCTACTACAGGCTCTACGTTGATTATGACTGTGTTTATAACTTCCGGTGATCTTCATTACATTGATGTTTTATGGTACTTAGGTAACGAATGCAGTATTTCCAAGACTAGGCCCGGTCCATAAATTCACAAAGCTATAACTCTCTGACCAATCATGTGTTAACAGGCTTCACAAACAAGGAGAGAAAGATGGCACATAAATCCACCTTTCAATTTGGTCAAAATAGGAGGGCAGCTCTTAGTGCTGCATATTAGGACGAATTTGTTTCCCGGTTCGCAACTCTTAATACTAAAGGACGTGGACCTTGAGAATAAACATCGGTCAGTAGAGTTTAAAAAATTACGTGGTTTGGTCTTGTATCTGGAATATAGTTTCACAGCTAGTTACCTTTTTGGATACAAATAAAAACAATTATGCAAATAAGCAGCTAGGACTAAAATATACCCATTAAAAACGTCGGAATACCTCATAGCGATGCGCGTACATAAAAGCTTTTGCATCCGGTTTCACTGGAAATATCAAACGATTCTCGGATGAATCAGCAGGGACAAATGGAACAAACTTCTTTAAGGGTTTAGAGAAACGAAAGTACGGAACCTGTAAATAAATGAAAATGAATTGAAATATTCTACCGAAAAGGCATCAATGACATATAGAACAGCGTTATCTGTAGAGTGCTCTGCTCGGCACTCTTTGACAGCTGCCTCACACAATGCCTTTGTAATTTTATTGTTGTCGATCTTCTGTTTTAGTATTGTTTCTACAAGCCTACGAAGAACCTTTTGTCGTTTTCCAGATTCAACACGTTGAACAATTGATAGTATATACTGAGAAGCATCTGGAGCAAGGAAAAGTCCATTTAGTTTAAAGGGTTTATCGATATCAGATTTTGAAACCTCCTAAAAGATTACGGATGAGAAAGCGAAAGCTTAATACTAAACCATCTTAATCAAAATCCCGCCGAAAAGAAATATTAAACCTTACTCTCTTGAAATTGATATGTGTATGTGACGCGAGCAAACAAGGCTTCAGTTACAAAGATAGTGTATCAGTGGACCTGTGTTAATCCAAGTAGCTAGTTTTCCACTGAACGTCGATCTCCCAAAACAAGGGATGATTCAGTGAAGAACAGCAGAATCAGAATCCCTCCAAAACCAATATCTTAACCACGAGCTAGTAAAAACCATTTGTTTTGTTTGCGATCAATTCTTGTTCTTGATGTACGCTTCCAGGTATTTAGTAGTGTCCAATGGCTGGTAGTATAGCCACTCAACTGCACTAATTCTAGTCATTTGGAGGTTGTTTGTGAGTTTGTATGCCCCATGATATGAATCACTGCGTTTGTTTCACGGCAGTAGGGTTTCTGGTTACCATCAGCTATGGTATGGCTTGAGAGAAATTCAAAAAACTTGTACATACATTACCGCACTGCCCACTCCTCAGACTACACCAAAGAATCCGATAAGCCCTCAGTCGAGGGAGATTCACACTCTTCTTCATAAGACGAAAAATGCGTAGGAGAAATTTAGGACAGTCGTCACTGGTAAAACGATCTCAATATTGGGAAGACATAAGTACTTGTTCAACTACCCTCAGCAAGTTTAGAAGACTGTGTGGAACAAAGCTAGTTAAGGAATCCATAGAATACCGAGAACGCTCATGCTGGCACATATATCAACGAAGGGAAGAGGCAGGACCGAAGAATTATAGGGAGACGCTAGTACTGCATTACTGATGGACGGCGATTATAGAAAAGATGAGATATTCTCAGACTACTTTGGTGATGTACGAGATATCTTTTCCTCCAATCCATACTGACCCCTACATACATATTCTAAACACTATGACCATTACGGAACTTCGATGTCCGTCGTATGTTAAAGCATATGACTGAGGGAGATCCATAGGGCTCGTTGAAACGCGTTTAAACTAGAAAGTTTAACCGCGAATCCCTCAGTCATATGCTTTCATCTATTTGTAACCCAGGGTAGATTAACGAAAGACTGCAATGACGTCATGGTAAGCTTTGTCTTTAAAACAATCTGAGGCACAAACCTGAGAACTGTCAACCTGTAAGCCTAACTAGCTAGTTAGTGAGAAATTCAGAAAATGTCATTAGTAAGGAGCTGTTTAAGTACCTGGGCAGAAACCAGGTTCTTTCTGAGAAGCAGCACAGCTTAAGAACATGCTACTTATGTCTCACAAACGGGTCAGCAGATTGCAAAATTTGATGCGCTTTTAAGGATCAGAAGCTAGTTATAGATTTGAGATGGGCTTTTGTCAAAGCCCCTAAGAGTTGGCTCTGTATAGTTAAGTGATCATTTGACATTAAGGGAAACTAGCTTGTGCGGGTCAAGAGCTTCCCATCCAGGCACCAACAAATTGTATGGGTTACCTCCAAGTCGTCTAGGTGGGGAAACTGTATTTGGTGAAGTTCCTCAAAGTATATTTTAGGGACCACTGCTGTTTCTTCTGATTGTAAATCACTTTCTTAGTCTCATTTCTCAATTGGTTTTGTTATTTTCTGATATTCTTAAAATACCGACTGCCATAAAAAAACGGTTGTGTGGTTACTATTAAAAAGACCAACGGGAAAATTACTTATCGGTCTAGAATTCGGCAGTTTGCTGATAAACGTTCTCATGGACCTCATGGTTCATATTAGTTACCAAGGTACTGATTATATACACGGGGAATAAACAATGAGCTGCCTGTTTATATAAATACACAGTAACCTAGGAGTTAACATTAGCCAAGACCAAAAAACTACTACACATTGTTGTTCTTTAGTCGTCAAAAGTTTTAAAGCCTATGGTCTATACGTGGAGCCTTTAGCCATGTCAAGTTTGGCTTCATTCAGATTGGATGTAAGGCTCAACACTTTGGTGCTAGGACGGAGTCGAAGTAGGACTCACTATTCTATATGACCCGTGATGTGGTTAGTGGGCATTTATGGACATCTGAATATGCTATGAAATAAATCTCCTCTTTAATTTCTGTATATCGTACTTTGGCGAACCCGTGAGTGCAACAGCAGTATTAATGATCCAAGTACGGATTCGTTGGATGAGCTTATCAAGCAATCGTTTCGTGCAGACAGACATGAGAACGAGAAGTGTACAAGCAAAGTGGAGAAGGCGAGCGGGCCAAATCTATGTAACGACTCATGGACTATGTAATTATAGTCAGACAGAGTAAGCTAGACATGTAATAAGCAAGGTGGGCCTGCACACAGTGAGATGAAATCAACCAGTGAAAGATTTACCAGGTCAAAAAGACGAATGGGCTCGACAGAAAAGCACACACTACACGAATTGAAGACATTATTGATTCTGATCGTAGTATTTTTGTCCCAAACGTTTAGTATTGCATGCAGGCCTCCATTTTCTACCTTGCTGTTAGAAAAGACTCAAAGAACCGCAACTAAGTCAATCCCCAGAATCACTAGGCTGACGTATGGAGTGACTGGTTATAATTGAAGCTATGTGCACTATCCAAATTAGTGAATATCCGTCAGGTTTTTACTTGAAGCTATCGATTTGGACAACGACGAGTAGGGGTCTGGATGACGAAACAATTTAATCACAAGGCTATTATTCACATCAAACGGAATTCCATTGAAATAAAATGCAGTTATCTAAAAACAGCAGCTAGCTGGGTAAACACCGCATGAACAGCATTGTATCTACAGTTAAGCAATCTAATGTCTGAAATCAATATTGAACGTTTAAATTTACATGTATACTCCATACGAATCTTCGAGAAGTGATAGTCGTTTAAAGATCGATCAATCTTTGCCTTATCCATCGAACCGAAATATGACTAAACATTCAGGGTATCGATGGTACTAATAAACAAGTTATCCTTCTTCATCTCCTTTTCTACCTTTCTGGCCACGAACTTTGGTTTAAAGAGTACAATAGTGTCGAGCACCATTTTAGACATCTCAATAATTCACGAGAATTTTCGCCTCGATATCCTCTTAATAACACCACAAGACTTATATTTCTCGATGAACTGTCAGTGTCGAAAACAGGTGGCATACTCACAAGTTGAATGAACTTTTATCAGTGCTGGTCAGAAGATTTCCAAAGTAATTCAACAGCTGGTATTAGTTCTGATTTTCTTGTACATCTTTACTTTATATGTACTTTATCCTCATTCCTATTCAGGGTACTGCCATCAAGCTTTTCAGCAACAACTTTACTGAGCTGCTGATTGAGCGTGAAGTTTTAAATATTGTAGTGATAAGTAAATCTGATAAACTTTTTGTGATTAAAATGAAATATTATATCTTCACCTGGTTGTATGACTGTGCACTCGTTATAGTATCTGAGTTGAATAAATATTATTATATTTATTATTTTCGGTGGGCCTATGCTCCATTACCCGATAACAGGCTTGAATAAGCAAGTAAAAATATCTGTCAGTCGTGTTTATTCTTCACTGGCTGATCAACTGATGCTTTCGCTGTAAATTCCCGCTAAATATTAAATTGCGTGGTTACTGAATTTTTCTGGTTCACATCAGTCGGTTGCAGATAGTAATATGAAGTAACTGTTGTTGTGTCCCATTCAGACTACCCGAGTAAGGATATAATACTGTACTAATTTTTTATGATTTCATTGTGTCAACACGTATATAATACGTGTTGACACAATGAAATCATAAAAGTTAGTACAGTATTATATCCTTACTCGTGTAGTTCTGAATGGGACACAACAACAGTTACTTCATATTACTATCTGCAACCGACTGAGTGAACCAGAAAATTCAGTAACCACGCAATTTAATATTTAGCGGAATTACAGCGAAAGCATCAGTTGATCAGCCAGTGAAGAATAAACACGACTGACAGGTATTTTTACTTGCTTATTCAAGCCTGTTATCGGTAATGGAGCATAGGCCACCGAAAATAATAAATATAAATAATATTTATTCAACTGAGATACTATAACGAGTGCACAGTCATACAACCAGGTGAAGATATAATATTTCATTTTAATCACAAAAGTTATCAGATTTACTTATCACTACAATATTTAAAACTTCACGCTCAATCAGCAGCTCAGTAAAGTTGTTGCTGAAAAGCTTGATGGCAGTACCTGAATAGAAATGAGGATAAAGTATCATATAAAGTCAAGATGTACACACAGAAAATCAGAATAATACCAGCTGTTGAATTACTTTGGAAATCTTCTGACGTTAACCAGCACTGATAAAGTTCATTCAGCTTGTGAGTATGCCACTGTTTTCGACACTGACAGTTCATCGAGAAATATAAGTCTTGTGGTGTTATTAAGAGGATATCGAGGCGAAAATTCTCGTGAATTATTGAGATGTCTAAAATGGTGCTCGACACTATTGTACTCTTTAAACCAAAGTTCGTGGCCAGAAAGGTAGAAAAGGAGATGAAGAAGGATAACTGTTTATTAGTACCATCGATACCCTGAATGTTTAGTCATATTTGGTTCGATGGATAAGGCAAAGATTGATCGATCTTTAAACGACTATCACTTCTCGAAGATTCGTATGGATATACATGTAAATTTAAACGTTCAATATTGTATTTCAGACATTAGATTGCTTAACTGTAGATACAATGCTGTTCATGCGGTGTTTACCCAGCTAGCTGCTGTTTTTAGATAACTGCATTTTATTTCAATGGAATTCCGTTGTGATGTGAATAATTAGCCTTGTGATTAAATCAGTTTCAGTCATCCAGACCCCCTACTCGTCGTTGTCCAAATCGATAGCTTCAAGTAAAAACCTGACAGATATTCCTATTATTTGATAGTGCAAATAGCTTCAATATAACCAGTCACTCCATACGTCAGCCTAGTGATTCTGGGGATTGACTTAGTTGCGGTTCTTTGAGTCTTTTCTAACAGCCAAGGTAGAAAATGGAGGCCTGCATGCAATACTAACGTTTGGGACAAAAATACTACGATCAGAATCAAAAATGTTTTCAATTCGTGTAGTGTGTGCTTTTCTGTCGAGCCCATTCGTCTTTTGACCTGGTAAATCTTTCACTGGTTGATTTCATCTCACTGTGTGCAGGCTCACCTTGCTTATTACATGTCTAGCTTACTCTGTCTGACTATAATTACATAGTCATGAGTCGTTACATAGATTTGGCCCGCTCGCCTTCTCCACTTTGCTTGTACGCTTTTCGTTCTCATGTCTGTCTGCGCGAACGATTGCTTGAAATAAGCTCATCCAACGGAATCCGTACTTGGATCATTAATACTGCTGTTGCACTCACGGGGTTCGCCAAAGTACGATATACAGAAATTAAAGAGGAGATTTATTTCATAGCATATTCAGATGTCCATAAATACCCTAACCACATCACGGGTCATTAGAATAGTGAGTCCTACTTCGACTCCGTCCTAGCCACCAAAGTGTTGAGCCTTACATCCAATCTGATGAAGCCAAACTTGACATGGCTAGAGGCTCCACGTATAGACCATAGGCTTTTAAAACTTTTGACGACTAAAGAACAACAATGTGCAGTAGTTTTTGGTCTTGGCTAATGTTAGCTCCTAGGTTACTGTGTATTTATATAACAGGCAGCTCATTGTTATTCCCCGTGTATATATCAGTACCTTGATAACTAATATGAACCATGATGTCCGTGAGAACGTTTATCAGCAACTGCCGAATTCTAGACCGATAAGTAATTTTCCGTTGGTCTTTTTAAAGTCTGAAACCAACACCGTTTTTTTATGGCAGTCGGTATTTTAAGAATATCAGAAAATAACAAAACCAATTGAGAAATGAGACTAAGAAAGTGATTTACAATCAGAAGAAACAGCAGTGGTCCCTAAAATATACTTTGAGGAACTTCACCAAATACAGTTTCCCACCTAGACGACTTGGAGGTAACCCATACAATTTGTTGGTGCCTGGATGGGAAGCTCTTGACCCGCACAAGCAAGTTTCCCTTAATGTCAAGATCACTTAACTTATACAAGAGCCAACTCTTAGGGGCTTTGACAAAAGCCCATCTCAAATCTATAACTAGCTTCTGATCCTTAAAAGCGCATCAAATTTTGCAATCTGCTGACCCGTTTGTGAGACATAAGTAGCATGTTCTTAAGCTGTGCTGCTTCTCAGAAAGAACCTGGTTTCTGCCCAGGTACTTAAACAGCTCCTTACTAATGACATTTTCTGAATTTCTCACTAACTAGCTAGTTAGGCTTACAGGTTGACAGTTCTCAGGTTTGTGCCTCAGATTGTTTTAAAGACAAAGCTTACCATGACGTCATTGCAGTCTTTCGTTAATCTACCCTGGGTTACAAATAGATGAAAGCATATGACTGAGGGATTCGCGGTTAAACTTTCTAGTTTAAACGCGTTTCAACGAGCCCTATGGATCTCCCTCAGTCATTTTATTTAACATACGACGGACATCGAAGTTCCGTAATGGTCATAGTGTTTAGAATATGTATGTAGGGGTCAGTATGGATTGGAGGAAAAGATATCTCGTACATCACCAAAGTAGTCTGAGAATATCTCATCTTTTCTATAATCGCCGTCCATCAGTAATGCAGTACTAGCGTCTCCCTATAATTCTAGTGTCCTGCCTCTTCCCTTCGTTGATATATGTGCCAGCATGAGCGTTCTCGGTATTCTATGGATTCCTTAACTAGCTTTGTTCCACACAGTCTTCTAAACTTGCTGAGGGTAGTTGAACAAGTACTTATGTCTTCCCAATATTGAGATCGTTTTACCAGTGACGACTGTCCTAAATTTCTCCTACGCATTTTTCGTCTTATGAAGAAGAGTGTGAATCTCCCTCGACTGAGGGCTTATCGGATTCTTTGGTGTAGTCTGAGGAGTGGGCAGTGCGGTAATGTATGTACAAGTTTTTTGAATTTCTCTTAAGCCATACCATAGCTGATGGTAACCAGAAACCCTACTGCCGTGAAACAAACGCAGTGATTCATATCATGGGGCATACAAACTCACAAACAACCTCCAAATGACTAGAATTAGTGCAGTTGAGTGGCTATACTACCAGCCATTGGACACTACTAAATACCTGGAAGCGTACATCACGAACAAGAATTGATCACAAACAAAACAAATGGTTTTTACTAGCTCGTGGTTAAGATATTGGTTTTCGAGGGATTCTGATTCTGCTGTTCTTCACTGAATCATCCCTTGTTTTGGGAGATCGACGTTCAGTGGAAAACTAGCTACTTGGATTAACACAGGTCCACTGATACACTAACTTTGTAACTGAAGCCTTGTTTGCTCGCGTCACATACACATATCAATTTCAAGAGAGTAAGGTTTGGTATTTCTTTTCGGCGGGATTTTGATTAAGATGGTTTAGTATTAAGCTTTCGCTTTCTCATCCGTAATCTTTTAGGAGGTTTCAAAATCTGATATCGATAAACCCTTTAAACTAAATGGACTTTTCCTTGCTCCAGATGCTTCTCAGTATATACTATCAATTGTTCAACGTGTTGAATCTGGAAAACGACAAAAGGTTCTTCGTAGGCTGGTAGAAACAATACTAAAACAGAAGATCGACAACAATAAAATTACAAAGGCATTGTGTGAGGCAGCTGTCAAAGAGTGCCGAGCAGAGCACTCTACAGATAACGCTGTTCTATATGTCATTGATGCCTTTTCGGTAGAATATTTCAATTCATTTTCATTTATTTACAGGTTCCGTACTTTCGTTTCTCTAAACCCTTAAAGAAGTTTGTTCCATTTGTCCCTGCTGATTCATCCGAGAATCGTTTGATATTTCCAGTGAAACCGGATGCAAAAGCTTTTATGTACGCGCATCGCTATGAGGTATTCCGACGTTTTTAATGGGTATATTTTAGTCCTAGCTGCTTATTTGCATAATTGTTTTTATTTGTATCCAAAAAGGTAACTAGCTGTGAAACTATATTCCAGATACAAGACCAAACCACGTAATTTTTTAAACTCTACTGACCGATGTTTATTCTCAAGGTCCACGTCCTTTAGTATTAAGAGTTGCAAACCGGGAAACAAATTCGTCCTAATATGCAGCACTAAGAGCTGCCCTCCTATTTTGACCAAATTGAAAGGTGGATTTATGTGCCATCTTTCTCTCCTTGTTTGTGAAGCCTGTTAACACATGATTGGTTAGAGAGTTATAGCTTTGTGAATTTATGGACCGGGCCTAGTCTTGGAAATACTGCATTCGTTACCTAAGTACCATAAAACATAAATGTAATGAAGATCACCGGAAGTTATAAACACAGTCATAATCAACGTAGAGCCTGTAGTAGCGTATAAGTAAACGATGAACATTTCTTATTAGTAAATGTACAACAGAGTTTGCATTTTAAGAATTCCAGAATACTAAACGTTGTGATCAAGTGAAGCTTCTTCCAACAGATATCGCTTTGCGCAAAACATAAACATAAGAGGATACATTGCCATGGGAATTCAAAAAGTTTGATGAAATATCTGTATGTTCACCAATCGGTGCGGTAGTTAAAAAGTTCAAATCGCATAAACGCATCGAACCTATTCAGACGTACAGCACGTTGGGCGTGTAGATTTTTTAGGATGTGAACTAAATAACAGTTCCATTTATTCGTCAATATTGTACGGGTGTCTAATTTCTTCTTTGTAGTTGTTCAGTCAGTGGATAGAGCACCTACAATACCTTGTAGTTAGACTTTTCTGTATCCATTTTAGTTGTGTCCCCTAAAAAAACTGGGAGTAGTCGCGTAGTATTCATACAATATTAAGGTCGTGTTTTGTCCATATTTCTCAATCTGATTCCATTTTGTATTGTTTTACCATCTAATGCATGTACTTATTGGATATCTAACTATCAATATGTACTGAGGCTTCCATTCTAACTATTCCTGATTGAGATAAAAAGAATAATTTAAAAATTGTTTTCTCCTGTTGGTTGGTTTAGGTCATTTCTCCGTAACATATACGACGTTCTGTTACAGTAATCCATTTGACTTCTACCAACTTACAATGTTACATGTCACTTTTTATCATATAGAATTGTTCATGAAGATGAAATAATATCCGTAAATTGCAGTATGATCATATTTTCGTTGCTTCTGATCTAGAGAAATTGAAAAATCTTCCTTGATTAGATCCCATTCTGTAACACTAAAGCGAACTATGTGTCCTTGGCATTTTTACATGTTATCAGTATTAGAATCATTAAGAATGCACAATTAAGTTTGGTTAGTCAAGTTCGGCTGCAGTGTCATCGCTTTTGGAAGAAAAAAATACCACTTTGTAACTGAAGACTTAGGTTGTTAGCTGAGTTATTTTCAGAGAATTATTTCAACTTTTACAAAAGGCTTCATATATTTATACATATCCTGACCGTTCAACAGCGAGGTCATGCTGTAATCTTCAAAAATATGATACTTCGGCTCTCGTTCCCAGGACAGTGAAGTCCTTTGTAGTACAGATGTAGGATATTCATTGTACTTCACTGTATATTTACCTTCATATATTGGCATTTTTACTGATTTTGATATCGCTGAATTTGACTTTCAGTAATGACAATGGTGATGACTTAGTTCTAGCATAATTTACGTATTTTAAAAACTAATCTCATCTTCTGCTAACCTTTTTATTTGTTCTGTTAGGTTATATATCAGAGAATTTTAAGACATCAAGTATTCTCGCAAACAGCTGCTCTGGATGGGTCTCATGGTACAAATTATCGTCTTAGACAGATTGAATATTTACTTGCCTCTGGATCAAGAATAGATTCAGCCGTTGTGTTAGGACTAATTAGTCAGCTTCGTGAGGGTAAATGGTATGCTGAAGATCCCTCAGGTACAGTACAACTGAATTTACAACAAGCTATTTTTCATGAGGTGAGGCTTATAAAAATGTGTATACAAACTGGTTGAAGTAGTCCATGGGCACCATTGCTTTGGGATCAGGGTTTTCCAACTCCCATAGTTAGACCCTCCGTACCCATTAACCTGTTTTTTATGCGCTGGATATTCGCCTTCCGTCCTTTATTACTTAAACAATACCCCTACCACGAGAAGGCAACGGGTAAGACTTCCATGGCTGACTATGCACGCATGGCCATATGAGAGCATTTTGAAAGCGTGTGAGTTAATGATTCATCGAACCAGTTCTTCTGTTTTATACCTTTTTATGAGACACTACACGTGTTGCTGTTTTTTGTATATATTTACTAACTATAAAAATTAACGAGCATACTTTTTGAATGAGCAAAAAGTCTGAATAGAGCTAAAATCAATGGTATGGTGTAGAAATGATGAATCTATATCATGCATATGATAAAGTTGGAAACCCCTGCCTACTACATAATAACAGTTTAATCAATCAAGTCAACCAATTACATTCACTAAACTCATCCAGATGATAAATAGTTTATTTTCTGAATAATACAAAATGTCATAGTAACACTCATCAACTCATATCAGTTGTTGAACTGACAACAAAATTCTTTTGCTTTGAACTGGTTGTTCTGTCTAAAAGCTGGCTTATGAAAAACTGCAGTAGCAGATGTACGATACGAAAGCCACATATAAATAGTCATCATTTTCTTTGAAGCAACAGTTGCGTGATTGTCCATTCTGTCATACTAGTAACCCAAAAGCCTTTGATGAAATTTACTGCATGGGAAGTAAGTTATCTGATAAAGTTGTCTACGTGCATTCGATGGGATACTTAGCGTAAATTCTACCGATACTTAGTCAATACCCACTTCAATATTCATGATTGTTGTTAAATTAGACACGTGGAAGTTTCAAAGCGGCCACGTCTTCTCGCCAACTAATCATTGCTCATCATCTTTCGATATAAGTTGTTAACAAGAATTGTCAACATGATAATATAAGGCACTAATTGTTGATACTTCAAACATCATAGTTCAACCGGATAGATGCTCGGGATTCCACATCCTTTTAGACTGCAAACATTTCATAGTATAAATGGATTTCAACTAGCGTTGAATTACAGGGTGCGTGTTTCGTCTTATTTAGAACCCGTTCAATGAATGTGTCTGTATTGGAGCCCCAACCGTAGCTGTTAGTTTGACGTGGTGGTCGGGCATGCATATCGTGATGACCCAACCGAGCTATATTGGCTGGAACATATGTTCCTGAAGGTTCTACCATGCCAGGCAGGTGGGTTGGAGAACGATGAGACTAAAAGCAGCTACCCAAGGTCTGATGTCGAAGTTGTACTTCTGACTGTAGAGAAATGTGATAGCAGTAAGGTGTTTCACTCAGACAACCAGCATCTGCAGCGATGCTTCCTTCTCACAAGGAAGGAAGGTGTTAGAAATGGTTGACCCTAAAAATGTCACACCTCACCTTACCTCACGGATTTCCGTCTCCGGTGGCAAGGCCTTTTAAACAAGAACCGAGTTGACACATTAAATACTTCACATAAAAATGTCCGTGCGTGACCGGCCTCAAGCAGTTGTCCCTTGGGTTCTGCGGTCACACTCTTAGGTCTCTAAGACCAAAGCTAATGTACCTTCCTTTTCAGGTTCATCAAGTAACAATCTTCCAGGGTGTGGGCAGCCGGGAAGTGACATCCACCCTCGTACCCATAACAGCATGCGAGACCAAATCGGTCGCAAACAAATCCTTCCTACACCCGTTAACATCTCTCTTATCTCCACGATTAACCCTTCTCACATTCTTTTGTCACCTCGCACCATTAATTCAAACGACTCGAGTTCATGTAACGTTATTCTCGGTCTCCTGAAATGCCGTTCTAGACTACGTGTTGGAGCTTTTAATGTACGAACATTGCGTCAAATAGGACAACAGGCTTCCTTAGCTAGGACTTGAGAATCTCCCGCCATTGATGTATGCTGCGTTTCCGAAACGCGTACACAGGATCCTAATAAAATCATTAATTTGATTCCATCTTGTCCAAAACAAAGAAGCAGCTCGATTTACTGTTCGTGTATCCGGTAGCCCTGATGCTGCTCCCAGGGGTCTAGCTAGCGTAGGTATAGCATTGAGTCGTAGGGAAGAACTATTTCTCCTAGACTGAATCCTAATAGACAATCGTTTATGCGCTGTCAGACTTAACGAGACAATACGGATTCGGGAAGATAGGGATAATTGCCGTTGCCTCTTCGTCGTATCTGCCTGCCTATGCCCCCACTGACTGCAGTTCAGTCGAGGTGAAAGATGAGTTTTACGGAAACCTCTCAAAACTTCTTCAAAAGGTTAAGCGCTCTGATATAGTTATAATGGCTGGTGACTTTAACGCTCAAGTAGGTAGACTCTGTGAAAAGGAAAGACAGGTAGGTGGATCTCATGATGTAGGGACTCAAAGAACAGATAGTGGCAACCGTCTGCTGCAACTATGCTCAGATAAGCTCCTATTCCTAGCAAACACTAACTTTAGGCATAAGGAAAAACATCTGTTGACCTGGAGACCCCCAAAACCAATTCAACGCTGGACTCAATTAGATAACCCCGCCATCAGCCACCGATAGAGGGGTTCGAGAGGAGAATGTCGCTCGTTCTGATGCACATGTTTAGAATCAGATCATGATGTATTACGAGAGCGTATTTGTTTGAGGCTTACTGGATGTAGAAAAGACACCACACGGAAACCTTTTCGGGTTCTACCTAATGATAGCAGAGCTATGAATATATTTCAGGAACAACTAGAGAAACAGTTAGGCGACCATGTAAGCGATTCCCACCTGGAGATAGCTTGGAGTGATATCAAAAAGGCTGTGGAAACAGCAGTGATACCTGCTAGTAAGGTAAACCATAAGGTTAGAGATAAGCCGTTGATCTCAGTAGCATCCACCGAACAGATAGATGCTCATAAACTCATCCCACCTGGTTCTGAACATGACGAAGAGCGAAGTCAGCTTAAGTGCAGGTTGAAAAAAAGTCTACGCAATAATCGCGAACATTGGTGAGTGGCGAAAGCAAGAGCGATCGCAAAGTCTGCTGCAATAGGCAACAGTAGACAGTTGTTTCGACTTATCAAGGAAACCGGTATTAGAAATGCATCTGATAGCGAATGTCTCAAAAACGATGGTCTTATCATCCATTTTCAATCCAGTAGATTGAATCGATGAGCAGAACACTTGAGGTATAAGTTCAACTGGCCTTCAGCCTCACTTCGGTTGCTCACGTTCCCCAGTCATCCTGAATGGCAAATCAACGTAAGTCCTGCGACTCTTTATGAAGTTGAGAAAGCTGTGGGAAATCTGAAGCGAGGTAGAGCAGCGAGATCTGATAGGCTTACCCTTGAGATTTCTTAGGATGGTGGTCCAATTTTAACAGTTAGATTGACCGAGATCTTAGGTAGAATCTGGGAACTGGACGTAATCCTATCTGACAGGTCTCAACCGCTGATCGCCTCAATTTATAAAGACAAAAGTCCTCTTGTGACAATCACAGAGGAATAAGTCTGACTAATATAATATCTAAAATATTGGCTTCAATGCTACTCCGGCACCTAATGAAACCTCGTGAAGAGCAGACTAAAGAAAACCAGGTTGGTTTTCGACCTGACGTGGATGTATAGACCAGATATTCAAACTACGTCAGATCCTAGAACACAGGCACACGTTCAGACGCCCCACAATGTTAGTGTTTCTCGACCTTAACGCGTCATTTGTGGCAGTGTCTGTCATTGAAAGGTGTACCAAAGAAGTACATAAATCTTATGCAAGGTGTCTACACAAACACCACTGGTCGAGTTAGAGCCTATGGGGAACTGTCACCGGAATTCTTTACTTCAGGTGGTGTCCGTCAGGGTCGTCCACTCTCTCCATTCTTGTTTATCTTTGTCGTAGACATGCTTTTAGTGTTGACTTTATCTCCGTCTGACTTCCAGCTGTGGACCTATTACCAGGAGACACGCTTGCTGACTTAAAGTATGCTGACGACGTAGTCCTATTCGGTGAAGACGCCGACAAAATGCAGAGTCTTCTGACTACCTTAAGCAACAATGCAAGCATGTTTGGGATGCGGTTCTTACCCTCGAAATGCAAAATGTTGCTGCAGGATTAGGATGCATGGGCACTTGAACTAGTGATAGAGAGTGAAGTAGTTGAGCGTGTCGACCGCTTCACTTACCTCGCGAGACTCAATAGAGCTGATTGACTGGTGAGTGACGAAATCTCAGCACGAAGACAGAAACCTCGATTGGCTCTTGCCAGATTACGTCCTTTGTGGCGTAGGTGAGATATCCGTTCGCTATTCAAAGGTTGAGTCTACTGCGCAGTAGTTCGCCCCGTTCTACATGACCATTAAAATTAGAGGATATTCGTAGGTTTCTAGTATCCGATCATAGGTGCCTTCGAAGGATTGCTCGAATGTTGTGTGATCACGGAGTAAGCAATGCTGGTATTCGGAAACAGGTACTAGGTAAGAATGGCAGATCAATGGGCGAAGTAGTGGATCTTCGTCAGTTGAGTTGGTTGGACATGTGTTACGAATGCCCAACCACCGACTGCCTCAACGAGCAATGTTTTGTGGTGTAAGGGTAAACTGAAAGGAAGCTAGTGGCGGCCAGACCAAAAATGGTACAAATCAATGAAGTCAGTGACAAGTGGACTGAACTATGTTGGTAGGTGTAAATTGCCAGGTTGGTGTCTGCAAGACAATCGTAACCGATGGTAAGAGACCTTGAACGAAATGGCTCCAAATAATTTGCACTCGTAAATCCTAATCTTCTGAATTCTTCATCACTTTTACTTTTCTCTTCTCAAATTTACTTCACTGGATTATACTCTCTGAATGATATTTTCGAACCCTAATCTTCTTCATTACTGCTAATACTTCTACTAACTCTGCCACTATAGAATTTAAACTGACAGTTGCGTCTGTGCAAATGTGGTACGCCAACTTGGACTGATGTACGTGTGTACGAAGTTCTATGTTGTAACTAACTAACTAACTAACTAACCAGTGTTTTGTGAGCTAGAACTCTAGGTCACTTAATATTCCTGTCTAGTAAATATAT